CCCCAAAACCCCAAAACCCCAAAACCCCAAAACCCCATTTCTGAAATAAAAATTGAAATTTATTATAAATTATTTAAATTCAAAATAAAATGTCTGGACTTCCTAGAGAACTGCACTTGTGGCTGACCTCTTTGAACTTGAGCTACAAAATAGTTAATCCTAAGAGAGACTTATCCAATGGCTATGTGTTCGCAGAGATATTCAACAGGTACTTCCCTGATAAAATAGAGATGTACACTGTTGATAATGGGATTAAGCTGGCTATTAAGCAGAATAATTGGGAATTCCTTCAGAGATTCTTTAATAAGAATAAGATACCTATTGGCTTTGATGACTATGTAAGACATGCATCTAACCTATAGGACCCTGTTATGCACATGGCACCAGGTGCTGCTTATAATTTACTGTTGAAGGTTTACAGCATTTTGAATGATGGCAAAGAGGTTGCTGAGACAGTGAAGCCAACTGGTAAGTACAATTTTCTGAAATCTAGGTATTGAATTTGAAGAAGAAACGCCAGATTATGCTAAACCAACTATCTCAGCCAAAGTGAAAGATCATGAAATCCAGAGAGTGGCAGATGAAAAGACAAAGAACGATATGGCTACTACAATGATGACTGATCATAATGATATGCTGAGAACAAATAGGCTAAATAGATCTAAAATGGGATTTCCAAAAGCTAGATTAACCCAGATGGCTAATGCTAAAGCTTTATCACAATTAAAGAGAAAGAGTAAGATTAGCGAAAGAGATGGAGCAAGTCAGCATGAGATGAATAGGACAGAAAATGAGGATCAAAATATTTCTCCAGAAAACGTAAAAGAGGTTCAAGTTAAAACTGCCAATAAATCTATAAGAATTATGAGACAAGAAGCTGCAGCAAAGAAAGACCCAACTCAAGCATTCCAGGATCTTGATGACTCTGATGATATGAAACTAGAAAGTGTACTTATAGATATTTTGAGTAAAAATATCGACTCAAAGATGTCAAAAGGAGATCCAGAATACAAAATATTTAAGGAAAATTACCACAGAATCCTATCTTATTTCACAGAGAGATTAAAGCATATCCCTGATGACCTTCTTCATGAGATCTTTAGTGAGCTTAATGATAGAGTTGATGAATTCGTAGCTATTTTAAGCAAAAATTTATGTGAGTTCTGTGATCTCTCAGAATTCATCTGCAAATGTCTGGCTGAGTTGAATCCTCTGAACGTGGTAGAGTCTGTAGAGAGCTCCAAAACCAAGAACATCTTCCTACTTGTGGTTGAGACCTTGGCTACGATTGGAAACAAGTTACTGAATACTGATCCAGTTCAGACAGAGCTGTACTTCTTGGAGTATACAATTGATGACTTGATTGCAATTGTCGAGTCCAACGAATTCAAGCGGAACGAAATGATGCTGTTGTTCTACTGCTTCGTGTCACAGACTGTTAACTCTCATTTGAGAGTGTTGAACAGACTCAAAGAAAAGATTACTAACCCCAATGTATTTTACTACTGCATGTCCAAGCTATTCGTGTACGAGGAAACGAACGGAGATGATTTAGACCCTGATCTATACGAGTTTTATTACAAGAGTGCTGCTTACGGCTTAATGAGCACTTCACCAATTACTAGAACAAAATGCATCACCGTGTTATCTTACTTGTCTAAAGTAAACGCTGAAGTTGTCCTGAACTTGCTGCCGTCGATTGAACCATTGGTGCATGATCAATACTGGGAGATGAAAGGCCAGATCCTGATTCTTTGAGCTAATATTCTCACAAAGTTCAATACTTTAGAAGATGGCACTCAAGAAGTTTCCAACATTGAAATGGGAGGAGAAGAGGCAGAAGACTTCAAAGGTCAAGAACCACAAGAACTCATAAACCAAGAAGCTATCGCAGCCGAAGGCCATTCTCAGCAAGAGCCTATAGAAGAAACGAAGCAGCCCGAAGCAGAAGGTCAGATTATAGAGGAAAACAAAGATCAAGAAATAGAAAATCCTGGTACTGGCAGTCAAGATCCCATTCCTGAAGACCAGAAAACACTGACTCAGCAAGACACGCTGACAAGGATTCTTGAGGAGTACACTCCTCTGTTGTTCAGAATGATCGAAGCTATTTTCAGAGTAGAGGCTCCAAAGGCTACTTTGAAGATAGGACTGATCTACTTGGCTAAAATCTTAAACTTCTATCCTGAATTCACAGACCTATACCTTCAGATTCTGCTATCAGTTCCTGACAACATCAGAACATCAGTTGTTGACTGTAATCCTCTTCCTGGAACGGATGAAGAAGTGTACGTCTCAGGATCTTCAACTGAGAAATATCGTACTTATGGAGCTCCACTGGAATGGAACCCTCTCTACATTGCTCAGAGCCTTGAAAAGTTCATAAAAGATAGCGGACTAGAGAGCTTTGAATGGGCTTACATTGAAATATTCGAGGCATGCCTCCAACAAGAGTTCTTTAAGGAAGATATTGAAAAATGGCTGGTTATATTTTCTTCTCTTAAAAAGTACTTCTTTATCTCTTTGTGAAGCAGAGAATTTAGTAATACAACCATTGAGATTTTGAAAAAGATCTATACCAATGAACATATGCAGAAGAAGTTCATTGAGGAATCTAGAAGCATCTTCGTGCAGACTATGAAGCTGATTTATCAACCAGATGTTGATCATGAATGTCAACAGAACGTTAAAGAGTTCTTAGAATATCTACACAACTGAGATGACTCCACTCCAATGCTAAAGAAGATGGTGTATGACGTTATTAAGAAATTTGCTGAGCACAACAACTCTGCTTTCCAAAAATCAAACCTTATTGATTTGACTGTTGATGTTGTGGATACCAAGCGAGGAGAAATATTCAGGTCTTAAAAATTCAACTGTAAAAATCATTCCGGGGTTTTGGGGTTTTGGGGTTTTGGGGTTTTGGGGTTTTGGGGTTTTGGGG